ACACACCCTCCCCACCTCACCTCACCATCCCCACCTCACCATCACCCCCTCACCATCACCTCACCTCACCATCCCATCCTCGCCACCCACACCATCCCCACCTCACCATCCCCACCTCACCATCCCCAACTCACCATCACCCTCACCATCACTCCTCACCATCACCTCACCTCACCATCACCACCCTCACCATCCCCACCCTCACCATCACCTCAATCACCTCCCCACCCTCACCATCACCTCAATCACCCTCACCACCCCTTACCATCACTCCCCTAACACACACACACAGTAGAAATGAGGGCCCTTGTCAAACATATATTTCACTTTGTTTTTTTATCATTAGGTAAAAACACTTATCAAACTTATTTAAGCATTTGGAAAGTGGAAAAACCTGAATATTTCCTGAACTCATTAAAACCCAGAGAATAACAACAACACCACCAAAAAACAATAATAATAATAATAATAATAAAATAAACAGGCACAGAGGAGTCAAGCAGGTTGGCAGCGGGATCATAAGAGTTTATCAGGGAGCTGAGGAAAATGGCCCCATACATCACTGGGTGGTGATGTGTCTGGCCAATGTTTTCTCTAACATTCCTCTCTTACTGACTGACACACACACACACACACACGGAAACTGTTTATTTCTGTCAACACGTTGGTATGTTTAGAAATGCAAGTATCCATGCAGCGGGAGAGCAAACACGCGCACGGACGCAAACACATGTACAGACGCGTACAAAAAACACATACGCTCGCTCGCGGACACACACACACACACAGCAGCGGGAGAGTAAATAATGGAAGAGAGGAGAGAGGAGTTTGGAGGAGGGAGGGAGTTAGAGGAGGGAGGGAGGGAGTTAGGGGGGAGAGGAGGGAGGAATCAGAGCGCGGACAGGTAAATTAACTTAGGTCGGAATTCTTCAAGTGTAAAAAGAGCACTCCGCCTTGTACACCTACCTAACACAACTACTCAACACACCTCACAACACACCTGCCCAACATACTTTCTCCCCACACACCTCCTCCAGCGTCTGAACACATCTTCCCAACATACAGCTAGCCGGGAGGAAGCCAGCCAGCTGAGCTGCCCCATACCGTGTGGTTGGCAAGAGCCCGCTGACCTCCCACACCACTCAGACAACGACGTGCTTACTGCTCGTCTACATGAATTATTGTCCTACTGTTCATTCATAAAATACATTTGCTAATGTGTAATTAATGAGAAAATTCATTAACCTTATTATTCACAAAATTATATACAATACAATAAACAAGTAAATACGATATCTATATGTATAGTACATAATCCTACTGGCCAATGAAATGAATGAGCTTTGTGTACATCTGGAGACTCTTACCTTAACCTGAGTTTGTAAATTAGCAGTGCACTGTTCTGCAGCTTTGCATACCTTACTTGCAAATAGTCGGAACTGCTTTAATCAATAAATGTATATGACTCTCCATAGGTTCTGTATGAAACATGTGGTGAGATAGTTCAGGCAATACTCCTGTCACTGTAACTTGATAACACCGAAATTGAACAAGTCTGAAAATCTACTCTTCCAAAGTTAGATATATTTTGTTTCCATGACATGCCTCTAACTTTTTTTCACAACCAACACAGGTGTCTATACATCAGGCCCCTTGGATTTCAACGTAATCAGAGAATGATCTGGCCAACATAGTGGTTGTTAAGGCATCACAACCTTCACAGTGTAGAGATTTCTAACTCAAACACAACGAAGTCAGCTGATATATGCACAATTTTGTTGGAAAAATTGGGACAAATGGAAACTGCTAGGAACATAAGTATAATGATGCTCCTCCTCATTAGCTCAAGATGACTCGGACAGCACGTTATTTATAACATTTCAAAACAGAGGTATTAATAGCATTCACCGAGTGTCTACCCTAACATTATTTGCACAGCTGCTAGGCACAATCAGTATTGGTACAGTTTCTAGTGGTAAACAGTTGCCGCGACCTAGCCTCTTTGCTAACCACAATTGCCTGCCTGCAGCTCAGTGACCCCATTTTCTGAGCGGTTATACCTCCATGCCCCCAACACACCTTAACACATCTCCCCCACACCTGAAACATATTTCACCATAAAGTAACTCCAAACTTTACCCATTAATATTTCTGTTATTATTTCATCCTTAATTACATGACCACGGTATCTCATTTGTCTTCTGTAAATTTCAAGTATTTCTCTCTTAAGTTTTCTCTAATCTTAGTAGTTCTTCATTTGTTTTCCTGTCATGTAGTTTATTCTCAACATTCGCCCTATAACACTACATCTCAAAGGCCTCTTTCTGGTGTCTGCTGAAAGTGTCCACGCTTCTGACCCATACAACAGTCCTGCCATATAAAGCCATTCAACTGCCCTTTTCTCAAATTGAAGTTAATGTCCCTTTTCATTGGGTCTTTTAGGTTATTAGATGCTGTTTTGCTTGCCCTCTTTTTGTTTTGATTTCTTCCATACATCCACCATCGCAGCTAATGTTACTTCCCAAACACACATCATTTTCCACTTGTTTCAGTTCCCTGTTGCCTATCATGATTTTTTAATTTAGGATTTATTTCAATTTAGAAACGACCATTACTTTAGTCTTACAGAATTAATTTAATCATATTTTTTTCACCTTTTACACTAATCCGTTGATGAATTTTTAATTATGCCTCTTCACTATAAGAGAAGTATCATCGGCATAGAGTATATTTGTTATACTCTTGAATTAATTATCAATATCGGTGAGACGTTAATGACGGACGCACTTCAGACGCATAGCTAGACGCACTACAGAAG